AGGTCGAAAAAATGATATAATTATTTATTGATTTTTTTAGTTTGTTTTAGCGAAATCTAGCAAAAAACCTGAGGTTTTAAAAAACGTGCTTAAAAGCATTTTAGGCCAAATTTTGCTCAAAAACCACTTAAATCGAGTGAAATAAAAAAAAATAACATCAATATCAATCCTTTTTGTGATTTTAGGCGTGTTTGAATAAGATGTTGCAAAATAAATGAACCTCTAGTTCAAAAACGAAGTAAATCGGGCAAAACATGCTAAAAAATGATATCAATTTCGATTTAATTTTGTAATTTTTTAGCCTGTCTCAATGCAATATTTCGAATTTTTTGTGTTTTTATCTCTCAAATACATCTTTAAACAATACAAACACGCTATTTGGTTGAATTTGTGGCTTGTTTTTGACAAAATGTTGCAAAATAATTGTGTTTCTAGCTGAAAAAGCATTCGAAAAAAAAAATAAGTTGTCAATTTTCGACTCTGTTTAGTAATAACTTGTAAAAAACAAATAGAACTATTTTTAACCAATTTGTTAGTTTTCGATTATTTTTTCTTCGGGAAAATTTGACGAAAAAATCAAGCTCGTTTTAAGAGGCAAAAACGCCATTTTTAGTGGCGAATGAATTTGTAGTTTCTTTTTGACAAAATTTTGCAAAATAATTGTATTTCTAGCATTTGAAAAAAAAACAAAAATAAGATGTCAATTTTCAACTCTGTTTAGTAGTATCTTGTAAAAAACAAATAGAACTATCTTTAACCAATTTGGTGGTTTTCAATTATTTTTTCTTCGAGAAAATTTGAGGAAAACATCAAGTTCAAGAGATTTTGTATGTCGTTCCGTCTCCTAGTATTTAGTTCTCCGTAGTGAAAACTTTTGTTAAAAACAGGGTGTTTTGTAAAAAGACAAAAAAAAAAGAAAAATGCCAAGTAAAATGAGATACTAAGAATATGAAAAAATGTTAAAAAAAACTCTATCTTTAAAAATTTCGAAGTTATGAGATTTAAATTTTGCACTGTTGGAAAAATAATTGTAAATTATAAAAAATGTCAAATGTCAAAATATAAATGTCAAAATTTTTTGACAGATTTTTTAACCATTTTTTTTAACGCTCCTGGTATCTTATCTTACTTGTCATTTTTCTTTTTTTGTCTTTTTACAAAACACACTGAAGGTTAGGTGGGGGTTTCCAGGTCCGTATTGACTTCCTCAACTTAAATCTGGCCCAACCGAACCCACAAGGCGTTTGCGATACCGACGCTCTGACTATCACAGGGGGCGCAGCCCCTGTGCCCGTCATTTGCGGCGAAAACACCGGTCAACACGTTTATGTCGATTTTAACGGCAATAACACCATTCAGCTCACTGTTATGACATCAAGTGGGGACAGTATAGGGCGGAATTGGAATTTTTTGATCACTCAAATCGCCTGCGATTGCCCCACTAGAGGTTTACAGGGACGAAAATTTGTTTAAATTAATTAAATTTGGTACGGTTTTAGCCCCCATTGGGTGTCTAATGTACTACACATCGCTCTCTGGTACCGTCAACAGTTTCAATTATGGTACTTCCACCAACGAAATTGACCCAAATACCGGACTTCCGGGTACCCGTGAACTAGTAAACGAGAACTACGGGGTTTGTATCGCCATGGTTCCGGGGTACTGCTCCATTGAATGGAGCGCGACGTCGGGTAATTCTTTTGTAGTTTCCGGGGATTTGGGTGCTTTAGGAATGGTGAGTTTGACCGGATCGGACTGTAATTCCGATTTTGTTGTGATTCCGGACCCTTCGTACGTTAATGGTACTCCAGTCAATTCGGATCGGTTCTGTGGTACCGCTTTTCCGTCGGTTGTTAGTACGTTTGGTGCTAATTGGTGTGACACTTTTAAAAATAAATTCCCTTTTAGCAAGCTCAAAACCGTTCGTTTTAACGGTTGTCACAAACGGGAATGAAATAAATGACACACAAAACAGAGGATTTTCGTTGAATTTTATGCAAAGGAGGTGTTCAACAATCACGACTTAAGTGCTCATTTTCAGTGTTGCCAGATCAAAAAATGAAATTCACCAGATCCGAGTTGAAATATTTGCCAAATTTACACCAAATTACGATTTGTATGATAAAATCTCGCAAAAAAACGCTTAAACATCTGCTTAAACTTTTGAAAAAAGCAAAAATGACATGCTTTTCGGCCTAATTTTGTGATTTTTCAACAAAATTTTGCGAAATGATTGCGTTTCTGGCTGAAAAACAGCTAAAACGCTAGAAAAAATAATATAATTTTAGACTTAGTTTCTTGATTTTTTAGTTTGTCTTAGCGAAATCTAGTGACAAACCCGAGGTTTTAGAAAACGTGCTTAAAAGCATTTTCGGACAAATTTTGTAGTTTCTCGGCTTTATTTTGTCTTAATTTTTATGATATCAATTTCGATTTAATTTTGTAACTTTTTGTGTTTTTATCTCTCAAAAACATCCTGAAATACTCGGAAAAAACAAAAAACGCCGCTTTTGGGCTATTTTGTTGAATTTGTGGCTCGTTTTTGACAAAATTTTGCAAAATAATTGTGTTTCTAGCTGAAAACGCATTCGAAAAAACAAAAATTAGTTGTCAATTTTCGACTTTGTTTAGTAATAAATCTTGTAAAAAACAAATAGAACTATTTTTAATCAATTTGTGGTTTTCGATTATTTTTTTCTTCGAGAAAATTTGAAGCAAAAATCATGTTATAATAATATAATCTTTTTTTATAACAATTTAGTGATTTTTTTCAGCTTAAAAATCTGCTTGAACTTCCGAAAAAGGAAAAAATTATATCATTTTTGGTCTAATTCTGTGTTTTTTTTGGGTTGTTATGAACAAAATTTTGCGAAATAATTGTGTTTCTAGCTAAAAAAAGTGCTAAAATCTCAAAAAATGCAAAATTAATGTAATTTTTCACTTAATTTGTTGATTTTTTAGTTCGTTTTAGCCAATCACGCAAAAACCCTGAAACTGTAGTACAAAAAACATTCACGGTTTATTTTGTCTTATTTTGCTCAAAAATTAGTTAAATCGAGAGAAACAAACAAAATAAGATCAATATTAATTATTTTTGTGATTTTTAGGCGTGTTTGGACAAGATTTTGCAAAATAAATGAGTTTCTGACTCAAAAGCAAAGTAATTCGACCAAAACAAGCTAAAAATAACATCAATTTCGATTTAATTTTTTTTTTGCTTTTTTAAACAATTTTTTTTTTGTTTTTATCTCAGAAACTCTAAGAGGGCAAAGACAATGCTGTTTATGGTTTTTTCGTTGAATCTTTAACTTGTTTTTAACGAATTTTTGCGAAATAATTGTGTTTCTAGTCGAAGAAGCATTAAAAAAAAAAACAAAAATAAATTGTCATTTTCAATTCTGTTTAGTAAAATCTCGTAAAAACGAATAGAACTATTATTTAACCCATATAGGGATTTTTTGTTTTTTTCTGAGAATATTTGACGAAATAATCAAAATAAAGCCTAAGAATTAGGTAAAGTCAAAGTGACATTATTTCTTGCCTAATTCTGTGATTTTTTGGCCTGTTTTTAAGAAAATTTTACCAAATAATTGCGTTTATAGCTGAAAAACGTGCTGAAATGCAAAAAATAATGTAATTTTTGACATAACTTGTTGATTTTTTGGTTTGTTTTAGCAAAATTTTGCAAAAAAACTGAGATTTTAGTACAAAAAAATTGTCGACCAAATTTTGTGGTTTCTCGTCTTATTTTTGTATTAATTTTGCTCAAAAAACGGTAAATTGAGTGATACAAAAAAAAAAAAAATATCAGTTGTGATTTTTAGCCGTGTTTGGATAAGATTTTGCAAAATAAATGAGTTTCTGGCCCAAAAACAAAGTAGTTCGATCAAAACAAGCTAAAAATAACATCAATTTCGATTTAATTTTGTAATTTTTTGCCTGCTTCAACGAAATTTTAATCTCAAAAACGTGCGTAAACATTTGAAAAGGGCAAAAATAAGGCCGTTTTTGGCCGAATTTGTTGGATTTTGGGATTGTTTTTAACGAAATTTTCCGAAAAATTGTGTTTCTGAAAAAGTATTCGAAAAAGACAAAAATAAATTGTGATTTTTGATCCAGTCAGTACAATATTGTAAAAAAACAGAACTATTTTTAACCAACTTGACGAAATAATCAATTTTCCGGTTAAAAACGCAGAAAATGCACGAAAAACAGTTTTTTACATTCCCAAAAAATCACCAGATGTTAGAATTTAAACTAACATGAAAATCACCAGATCTGGTGAAATTTCACCACACCTGGCAACACTGCTCATTTTCCGAATAAAGTACCAGTCCCTGAGCATTGGTTCTGCATATACATGAGGGAAAATCCCCGATTGGCCTCATCAATGGGTGAAACATCGGTACCATCGGTCACCACAGTCAACACAAATGGTTTCGACGAAGCTACAATCAAAATTAAATAAATAATTAACCAAATAAGTGACTCACTTGTGACTGAATTGAACCCATTTCCGCAAAACCTATCAGTGTTGGGCCCCACAAGACTCGAGTTCACGTAACTGGGATTTGGTATAACCACAAAATCCGTGGTGCAGTTCCCATTGGAGAGCGCCGAAGGGGGCCCAATGGTGCCATTCCCCACCGCCTGATTGGTGTTCCCCGTCACCGTGAACGCATACATGTCCCCCGGAGAGGTGCTCCACGTGATGGAGCAGTACCCTGGCTGCATCTCCACACAAACCCCATAATTCTCGTTGGCCAACTGCCTGGTGCCTGTTTGGGGCCCCGTGGTGCCGTAATTGAAGCTCCTGACGGTGCCACTCAACGCGGTGTAGTACTGGAGACACCCGGTGGGGGCTTTCGTGGGGCAGTCGCACCCGATTTGCGTGATTTTGAAATTCCACGCTCTGGAGGCGGTGGCGGCGGCGGCGTTGGTGTTGAGGACCAGTTGGATGTCGCTGTCGCCGTTGAAGTCGACGTAGATGTGTTGGCCGCTGTTTTCGCCGCATAAAACAGGGACGTTGGAGGCGCCGCCGATGACGTAGAAGGCGTCGGTGGTGCAAGTGCCGTTGCCGTCGGGTTGGGCGAGGGAGAAAGTGAGGAAGTCGATGCGGATTTGGCAGATCTCGGGGCTGCATTTGGGGATGGTGACGGTGCAGGTGGAGCCGCCGGTGTAAGGGGCGGGGAAGTTGGGGCTAGTGAAGTAGGTGTTGTTGTACGAGGAGGAGCCCCCACAAGTTATTTGAACTGAAAACAGGGTTGGCTGCTCAAAACAATTAAATTCACCAGATCGGAGCTGAAAAGTTACCAGATTTACACCTATTTTCGCCAGATTACTAGATTATATTATGATTTAAATTTTTTAACACTGTCGAAGATTCACATTCACATAAATCTCACAAATCTGCCCAAAAATGTGCTTAAACGTTCGAAAAATTTAAAAATAGATGCATCGAAGTAGTCGTAGAAAGGGATCATTTTAAGGTGGCAACCATGCAAAAATTCAAACAATCCCAACCTCAATCTTCCCTACAAATTATTTTGTGCATCCCAGGTAGCTAAAATAATTAATTAATGGCAAACATAAAGATTTTCGTAATTATTGATGTGATTAAATTTGTTCTGAATGACATTAATGACTTTTTGTGTGAATCGGCCTTTAAATTGAAGATGCATTTAAACTTCTACAACCTACTTGATGCACATTAATATGAAAAAAGGTTATAACACTATTTCATTTAGTCTAATTCTATAATTTTTTGGCTAGTTTTTAATTAAATTTTGCGAAGTACTGGGTGACAAAAAAATCTATTGGCAACACTGAACTAGTGGTAATCCTAAATTTGTTTATATCAGAATGTTTCAGATGACGGTTAAATCAGCAGTCACCCGTCGGAAATGAATGACAATTTCCTATAAAAGTTTGACGTTTGAATTTGAAAGTCAAGGTTGCCAAATTAAATTTTCAATCATTTACAGTCACCGGATATTTACGTTTTTACTTGAAAAACATGCTGAAATACTTGATCAAAGCAAAAATAATGACTTAATTTGATGTTTTTTTTGGTTTGTTTTAGCAAAATCTTGCAACTTACACCATTTTCGACCATATTTTGTATTTTTCGTCCTATTTTTTTTTTTAAACAAAATCTCACCCAAACTGAGCTCAATCGAATGAAACGAAAGAAATAATATCAATTTAAATTTATTTTTGTTGTGTTTAAGCATATTTTGACAATATCCTGCAAAATAAGTGAGTCTCTGCTTCAAAAACGAACTAAATCGAACGAAACACCCTAAAATGATATCAATTTCAATCTAATTTGGTAATTTTTTAGCCAGTTTTAGCAAGAATTTGAATGTATTTTAAAAAACGCCCTGAAACACTCTAAAAATGCAAAAATAACAAGTTTTGGCATAATTTGATATATTTTCGGTTTGTTTTTAACAAAATGTACTTTTTTACCAATTTTTGCGGTTTTTTTACTTTGTTGAGTGAAATATCGTCAATCAAAACTGAAATTTTGTGTTGAAAAAAATTTAAATATTACAGTAACCTGTAACTAAAGACAACTACCAGCTTTATGTCAAATCAGAAAACATAGTATTACAGTAACCTGTAATACTCTAAATTTTCAAAAACATTTTTTTTTTAATTACGAGAAAACTGTGAAATAAATGGTCAAATTCAAATGTGTTTTACTTTTGTCAGCTCCGCTCATTTTTTAGTGCAGGATTTTTTCATTTTTATCTAGTTTTTGAAACTTACTTATGCAACAAACTCCAATTCCTTTAGCACATGGTCCTGCCCCAACTCCGCCTATTTCCTTACATTGTCTTCTGGTGTAGCAAGTGCCTTCGAAACCGTCATCGCCCCCACACACCGAATTCTCAAATCTGACCAAACCAATGCCCCAATCAAGCGGAAAAACTTAACGAAAATTACAAGAAAATCAAGTTTTTGGGAAAAAAACTCACATTTTGAGTGCCTGTTGCTCACATCCGCAATCTTAGATTCGAATTCCACTATGAAAAAAACACAAAGTAAAAAGAATTTGCTAAAATAATGGTTGAAATGCATTTTCACGGTTACTTCTTTTGACTGAGGCATTTTTACAAAATGTAGAGCAAAAGTTTATGTTAAGTAAACAAAATTTCGGTGATATTACAGTTAAATTGATTATGAAAGTGGTGCGAAATTTTTAAGTTACTGCATATAAAAAAAATACAGGATGTGCCAGAACTCGCGCCTCAGAGATAAATTTCAAGTAAGATAAAATACCAAGAAAATTCTATCTGTCAAAAAAATTGACATTTATTTTTTGACATTTGTCATTATATCTATTTAATGATGACAATCTTGTATATGTTTTTTTTTATAATTATTCAGTAAAGGTACAAAAATTTTGACAATAAAAACCACAAATAACATTAAACAATTTAGGATACAGCTTCCTTGTTTCCTCTTCTAATAACATGCAATAAAATTATTTTTACAACAGAAATAAATGGAGTCAAAGTGCAAAATTAAAACTCTGATAACTTCGAAATTTTTATAAATAGAATTTTTTAACATTTTTCCACGTTCCTGGTATCTTACCTTACTTGGCATTTTTTTCTGGCGCACCCTGTATAAAACAATATAATTTTAAAAAATGTTATGGAAGGTATTTAGGACTCTTTTCTAATTTTTAGTTTTTAAAATTACTTTCTTTTGCTAAAAACTTTGCATTTGTGACCTAATTTTAAAACTAGAAACTAATAATAATCCACACTATTAAATCACAGTTACGTTCCCAAAAAGCTATTTGCGCACTCATTAACACCTCAAAACCGAGGTACCTTCACCAACACCATCAAAAAATGTCATTTGAAACTAAATTAGAGTCATGAAGTCTGTTTCAATCTTCTCAACTTTTCTCTTATTGTTTTATTTTCAACCAATTTTATCCAAAATCGATCAACCAGTATCCATCAACTTCAGGAACGCCAAATGTAAGAATTGCACCCAATGAACATCACCAAATTAATAATTGTAATTCCAGTTTGGCCTGTGGGAGTTGTAAGATTCCCAAATACAGTTTGCAGCTCTTTAGAGGGATACTCCGGGACTTGCTACACGAAATGGGAATGTCACAATCTCGGAGGTGTTGGTTCTGGGAGTTGTGCTAATGGAATCGGTACTTGCTGCATATGTAATAATCCAATAACATTTCACACTTAATTTGAGCCTATAAAAGTTCAAGGTACTTGCGGCGGTAACTCGAGTTACAACAACACGTATTTCACAAACCCGGGATTCCCCAACACGGTTTCCAACTCAAGCTCGTGCACATTTACCATCAAAAAATGCAACTCGGATATTTGTCAGGTATGTAATTGGCCTAAAATACGATTTATCGTTATTTGGAGTAGGTGCGTCTCGACTTCCTCAACCTAAACCTGGCCCAACCTGATGGTAACGGTAACTGTATTACCGACTCGCTGATTATCTCAGGTGGGGCCTCCAATTTGCCGGTAATTTGCGGCGAAAATAGTGGCCAACACGTTTATATCAACTTTAATGGCGATAGTGACATTATTTTGATGATTGTAACGGGGGCTTTGAGGAGTTTTGCCCGCTCTTGGAACATTAAAATTACACAATTGGCGTGTGATTGCCCCAGTCTTGGTATTACACAAGATTTTTTTTGTGAATTTATCAATTTAATGAAATTTTTAGCCCCCACAGGGTGTCTCATGTACTACACCGCACTCTCAGGTACCGTTAACAGTTTCAATTACGGTACCACACTGAGTGGGGGCTTGGTCATAAACCCAATGAATATGACAAGACCAGGGACTAGACAATTGGCCAATGAAAACTATGGGGTTTGTGTGCAAATGCAACCGGGGTATTGTGCAATAGAGTGGAGTCAAGGGCCCGATGACACGTCTTTTACCGTAAGTAATGACACAGCTTTCACGGATGCCTCCAGTGTGGGATTACCCGGATTTCCCGTCATTGGTACCATGTGTGACACCGATTTTGTGGTCATCCCAAACCCGATTTATGCCAATGGGACCACAGTAGGGGCGGATAGGTTCTGTGGGAACCAACTACCCACCGTTATCAGTGAGTAAAATACTTATTTAGAATTATGGTCAAAATTTGACTGATGACTGTATAATGTGTTGCATAATTACTTTTTAATTTTGTAAAAAAATATGTAATTTTATTTTGCCTCAGGTCTTAAAATTACGATAAAATTATCCTCAAACTGGTTTGCTTCCATTATTTAAAAATATTAATTAAAATAATTAATGTCGTGTATTGTGTGTTGCATACCTATCACTCTCAACAATGTGTTGCATAACGTATTAATTAATTTTTTTGTTAAAAAAATGTATACGTGTTTTATTTAGCTTATACAAATTACAGTTGTGTTTATAGACAAGCAATTATTAAAACTAGTTTGGTTTAAATGTTTAATAATTAAAAAATTGTGGTGTATTATATGTTGCATAACTCTCTTTGAATTTTTTTAGGTTCCTCTAAGCCGTTTGTTTTGACTGTGGTAACAGACGAAAACGACGTGTCCGATGTGGCCAATCGGGGCTTCTCCCTCAGCTACCGCCAGATCCCGTGTGGGGCCCCTAACGGAATGTTGGTCTTACCATAAATAAAACTCTCAATAAAACAATTTTATTTAAAAACCAATTCTCTACAATAAATTAGAATTAAACAAATTGGGCCCCCTCGTGGCTATTAACCGCGTCCTTCATTGGATAGTACCAATCGGCGATTTTCGTATGTTTTAGAATGTCCTTGAACGCCTGACACCCTTCAATACTGCACAAAACCCCATAAACGGCCAAATCGGCCAAGTTTGGTCTTTCGCCCCCCATGAATTTCGTCCCTTTTGCGTGAATTGACTTCATCCAAAAGTTGCAATTGTCGTAAAAACTTTCCCGGACGTCGTTTTTCAAACTATATTTTTTCTTCAGTCTTTTACCGATTAAATACATGGCGGAGGCCCCCACGACAATGATAAGATTGCGTTCCCATGAGGGGAAGTTTTTCTCCCATTCGCCCACTTCTGAGAACCAGTTGAAGGCTTCGAAGGCCTCTTCTCGAGTCCTGTAAACGTTGGGGGAGAGGACGTGGACGAAGACTTCGTCTACCCACTTCCGCCATTGTCGCTCTTCACTGTAAAAAAATTATAAACAAATTGAAAAATAAATCGTGACAATTACTTAATTTCCTTTGAAATTTTATTCTCTCCTAATACTAGAAAGTACTTGTTCATAATTTCACTTTTCTTGCTACCGTCCTCGTCCACGTAAGTGATATGGGGGTAACATTTGACGGTCTCGCGTAAACCCTTCCTGTCTTTTATGTATGTTGATAGGGCAGAAATGATCATGGAACTGTCGTTTAAAGGTTGGTAGCCCTGAGGCAATTCGGCTACTAAAATGGGGACTTTTTTGTACGGTGACCACTTGATTGATTGGCGCAAAACCGGGTCTACTTCAACTACATCATACGAAATACCATAATAGTCCAAAAAAGCTCGAACTTTGCAACAAAACGGACAAGTTTGGTATTGATACAGTGTTAGTTTAAGGCCGGACCGGTCTTGAGGAAACCGCACCTGAAAAACAACGTCAATCACACAATTTTAGCAAATTTCAAGTAACAAAACCTGGCGACTTGGGGCCACTTTTGGTAACTCTCCCAGGACCGGTATTGCGGTCTCCTCGTTGATTATGTGCCCCCGAGGTTGGTTCATCTTATGAATGGAATACCCAGTCCCCACTAGAGCCCCGACAGTGACCCCGGCAAGCCCCAATTTGAACACCCCTTTCAAACTCCTTCGTGTCGTGTAATTACGAAATGTCACACCACCACCCCAAACACCAACAAAATTCAAACCACTCTGACCCAATCTAAGAAAATCACGGCCGTGTCTTCTCAACCCGTGTGAAAATAAAGACATTTTTTCGTGAAGTGCACCCTAACCTTGTTTTTTCACGGGTGAAATTGTGATTGAAATGTCAAAGTTGTCAAAAACAACGCCCTCTTGTGGTGGGGTCAATTGTGGCTTTTTTGACCCGTGTGGCGTGGGAATTGGGTAAAAATGAGTTTTTTTGTGTGGTCTCTCCACGGGAGAGATTTTTTTCCTTGTAGACATTTTTTGCGTGTGAGGTGTGTCGTTTTTGGGCGATTTTACAGTGAATCTAGGAAGGCCGGTATGTTTACAAGTTTGTTAGGAGTGATGGCTGGTAGAGGTCGCGGTTCATGGCGGGTGATTTAATTTTAATTTTCAGACCTGGGGGAGGCCTACAAGCCGGCGACGGTGGAATCAGAAGAATTCGAGTGTTGTGATTATTTTAAACCGAAAGTCAAGTCTGGGAAGAAGTTTAGTATGATTTTGCCCCCACCGAATATCACGGGGAGTCTCCATTTGGGGCACGCTTTGACTGCGACTGTTCAAGACGTGATTATGCGCTGGTATTGGGGGAAATTTTCAATTATTTGAGAAAAATAATTGACAATTATTTAGGAAACGTATGGAAGGGGTTGATTGTGTCTGGGTGCCGGGGATCGACCACGCAGGAATCGCCACCCAAGTGGTCGTGGAGAAGCTCCTCTGGACCGAGAAGCGCCAAAGTAGACACGATATCGACCGGGGGGCTTTCCAGGCCCGTGTCTGGGAGTGGAAGGAGGAGAAAGAAGCTGTGATAGGTTTGTGTTGGGGTGATTAGAGCCCCCGTAGTTCCATTACGTGGGTTCTTAAGGCTCCAGACCCCCTGAAAGCTGGCGTATACCTGTTACATGTAAATTTATTTCATTGTATTTAGCCGCAAATTTAGACTTGAAGAGTTTCTTGATGTTTGTAGTGTTTCCTTAAAGGTAAATACAGATCCGGATAATATTCCCGCTTTAAATAAGTTAATAGATATTTTTTTATTGAATAAAATGTGAAAATCTTAATTATTAAGATTTTTGATAACGGTATACCGTATTGAATTAAAAAAAAAAACATTTTATAGGTAATTTAAAAATACAGATCCCTGTTATAATGCGAATTTGATAATTGTTCTTGATTCTTTGATATAAAGCAAAAATTGAAAGTAGGCAACCAATAATACACATAATTTCAAGTTACACTGTACCTGGAGCATGATTTATGACAAGCCGGGCCGCACCGCAGGGTGTAACCCACAACATGATCGTTTTATTGCGTTTGTTCAAAGCAAAGAAATGCACCACTTGGAACAAAATTTTGTTCTTGACTAGTTTATTTCTCAATAATAAACACTTTATCGTCCTCGGAACTCGATTCAATTGACTGAAAACTACATTCTGCAAGACTTGTTTTACTTGGAAGATCAGTTTTAGCAAAAAGAACAAATTTGAATTTGTCCGAACAATTTGCTTAATGGAATTAATCTCATTTGTTACAGAAAGTCAGTTGCGGCGATTGGGGGCTAGTCTCGATTGGCCCCGCAGAGTTTTCACCATGGATCCGAGACAGTCGCAAGCCGTCGCCGAAGCTTTCGTCAAATTGTTCGACTCGGGGCTGATTTACCGCGCCGACCACTTGGTGAATTGGTCGTGTAGTCTCCAATCGGCCATTTCCGACATCGAGGTGGACCACGTGGAGGTCCCCAAAGCCACCAAGATCGCAGTGCCCAACTGTGAGAAACCCGTCGAGTTTGGGACTTTGACGCGATTTGCTTACAAAGTTTGCGATTCGGATGAGGAACTCGTGGTGGCCACAACGCGGCCGGAGACCATGTTGGGGGACGTGGCGGTGGCGGTGAACCCCCGAGATGGACGATATAGTCGATTTGTTGGGCGCTATTTATGGCATCCTTTCAGGAAGGAGAAAATTCCGGTCATTTGCGACGATTTTGTCGATCCGGAGTTTGGGACTGGTGGGTTATTAAAAAATCGAATTTGGTTTTATTGAGAAATTCGCTACCGAACTAGACATAATAACGTATTATCTACTTTTCTGAGACTTGGGAGTTGATTTTGTCAATTTTGAAGTTTTTAATTTTTTCGATTTTTGTCAAAGTTTTCGGCGATTTCAGCTCATAACTTTGAAAATATTCTGATAACTGTTTTATGTTTGGTACCTTTGGAAAGTACTTTCAGTTTCCTATTTTATAAAAACAAGATTATAGTTCTGCGATAAACAGTTATTGAGAAAATCGCTGGTAAAGTCAAAAAGAGGAAAAATATTAATTCGACAATAACTTCTAAATTATCAAGAATTTTGCGGTGTTCGCGACACTAATCGACTTTCAGGAACATTTTACATGGGAATAGTACAAAACATAAATCGTTTTTAATACACTTGAGCCGGAATTAACAAAATAAAAATGAGTGAAAAATTTAAAAATAGGCATTTTTGAACGTGTCTCAGATTCATTTTAAACCTATCTTATCCGCGCTGATTACGAATTTGACAAGCATTTTGCGCAATCTCCTCTTGATTTTTGTCGAGATTTTGGTGGATTTTTGGCACCCGGAGCGGTCTAATGGCAATAATTCCGGACTTATTGGAGATAACTTCTTATATTTGGTACCGTTGGAAAGAAAATTAAATTTATTATTATATATAAAAAAGATCAGTGCTCTACGATAAATAGTTATCGAGAAAATTTGTGATTAAGTCAAAAATATCAAAAATTTAAATACGTCTATAACTTAAAAACTATTACGAATTTTGCAGTTTTCTTGACGCCAATCGATTCCCCGGAACATTTTACATATATTTAGGTCAAAATATTGTATCATTGAGATACAGTTTTTCGCAATTTAAAATAAAAAAAGTAAAAATTTATTAACACCCCCCCTTAAAAACTAGTGTTTTTGAACATGTCTCAGATTCYATTTAAACCTATCTTATCCGATAGATTTTGACGCACTAATTACGAATTTACCAAGCATTTTGCGCTATCTCCTTTAGTTTCGACGTAATCGGCGTTTAGAAATTCAATTTTTTTTTGCGAGATATCGACTTGGRTTTGGCCTCAGTCGATAGATTTTCTTACGCTGATTACGATGGAGTTAAACTTTTTGCTCTAAGTCTAATAGTTTGGCCGTAATCGCCGTTCAAAAAGTGAAAATTGTCAAAATTGTGAAACTTTAAACGTGTTTCTCTACGAAACTATAGAACTTAGAGCAAAAGGCTAAAAACCATTAAAATTAGCTTAAAATTATCTATTTACTGGCGCAAACCGAAAGTCGCTCCGGGTTATGGTTCCGGGTACAGAGCCATTTTTAGTTTTTTCAAAAAAAAATTCATATCTCAAAAACTATGAGTCCTAGGTCAAAACAGTTTATTCAGGCGTATTCTCCGGTTAATTTTACATATAGTACTAGTTTTTCATAAGAATAAAAAATTGTTGATTTTTGGTCAAAATCGGATATAGTGCTTTTACTTTTAGCTTTATTCTTAACTTTATTACTCAATATCTCAAAAACTATGCATCGTAGAGTATTCTAACTAGTTGAATCGTGTTCAGCGAGTAATTTTACGTCTAGAAAACCATATTTCAACCGTTTTTACGATTTTTAGTAAATTGACTATTTTTACGATTTTACTACCGCTCACCTTCAAAAACTCAAAAAATTCAAAATTTTTGAAACTTGACCCAATAACATTTTATGCACTTATTTGAGTCTTTAAGACCTCTAGAAATGTAAAAAACGTTAAATGGAACAATTTTAAAGTTATTTTTTTTTTTGATTTTTGTCGAAATTTTGGTCGATTTTTGGCACCCGGAGTGGTCTAATGGCAATAACTCCGGACTTATTGAAGATAACCTCTTATATTTGATACTGTTGGATAGAAAATTGAATTTTCAATGATATATTAAAAAGTTCAGTGCTCTACGACGAATAGTTATCGAGAAAATTTCTGATAAAGTCAAAAATATCGAGAATTTAAATCCGACTATAACTTCAAAACTACTACGAATTTTGCAGTTTAATTGACGCCAATCGATTCCCCGGAACATTTTACTTAGATTTAAGTCAAAACATTACTTCACTGAGGTACAGTTTTGCCGCAATTTGCAAAATAAAAAAAAATTAAAAATTGTTAACCCCCCCCCCCCCTCCCTTAAAAACTAGTGTTTTAGAACATGTCTTAGATTTAGAATAATTCTATTATTATTACTCAAAATTAATTGAAGACCAGTGGCGCAGAAAAGATAGGGGGTGTTTATCTATGTAAATGCGCACTTATTTATAATTGTACAGGGTGTTAAAAAATATTGTTACTTTGCGGACCTATGTTAATAATAACAATAATTAATTTAAAAAAAAATCTTAATTTTTAATGCAAAACTTACCTTTCATTTATTTTACTTTAAACTTACCTTTTACTTATTTTACTATTAACTTTTTACACTATTTTCACTTTTGTAGATACTTGCTTTAAAGTTCGCGCTCTTATATGCCCGCCATCTATTGGTGCTTATTTTAGTGGTATTGTGCGCTTTCTGTCTTATACCGTGAGATCAAATAAAAAATAAATTAAAGTAGGCGTCGATTTAATTCTACAGTTGGCAACACATTGGCTGGGAATCTGGGCTGGAAATTTTCCACACAAACTGAAAGTGAAAATGCCCATCCACCGTTTTCCTCTTGTACAGCAATAAAAAAATTCTACTCTAAAGTGAACATTATTTCAGTAAAAAGGAATAAAACTCAAACTTGTTAAAGTTTCCGCTGACATTTGATGTCAAAAATCAGAATTGCCATCTGAAGGACTTTAATCACCGCCTACTCTAATTTATTTTTTTTTTGATCGCACGGTACTTATTAGAACATATGCACATGTTTTTAAAGATCGCGCTCTTATGCGCCCGCCCTCTTTTGAAATTTATTTGAATTATATTTGAATTATATTTGAATTTGTGAAAAATTGCCGACTTGACCGGGGCTCGAACTCGGGACCTACCTGCTGGAAAGCCACCACCGCCCCAACAATTTCAATGTTTTCATTCAATATATTTTACACAAAATTTTTCAAAAATTTATTTTTCGCTTTTTTAAAATGTTTTTATGCTTTATTAAGTCTTTTGAACCCCCAAGAGTGCAAATGGACAATTTTGAAGTTTTTAATTTTTGCGATTTTTGTCGAAATTTTGGGCGATTTTCGGTACGCGGAGCGGTCTAATGCCAATAACTGCGGACTTATTCGAGATAACTTCTTATATTTGGTACTGTTGGAAAGAAAATTTAATTTTCTATCGTATACAAAAAAGATCAGTGCTCTACGATAAGTAGTTATCGAGAAAATTTGTGATTAAGTCGAAAATATCAAAAATTTAAATCCGCTCAAAAAATTTAATTTTTTATTAACTTCACCCTATAATATTTTATACACATTTGTGAGTTTTCTACAACGTTTTTGTGCTTTTCTAAGTTTCTTGGACCCCTAGGAGTGCATTTGGTGATTTTGAAATTTTTAATTTTTTTAATTTTTGTCAAGTTTCCGACTTCCAACTTTCAACAGTTTCGAAAACTCAAGAATTTTTTTTCTCAAACTTGTCTCAACAGCGTTTTATGCACTTTTCTGAGTTTCTAGCACCATTAGAAGTGCAAAAAGGGCGAAAATGTGTTTTTTCTAACTCGCAGACAGAGGGGGTTAAATGTTGTCTCTTTTGGGGCTTTATTCTAGCCTAGTTTGCATTAAGGAGACAATACCGTTGATTATAATTTTATTCGTGTGGTGTGTAGATTTATGTTTCCTGTCTGGGGTAATTACCCGTCAAAAGCCTGTCTACAGTCCTAGTGCCGATGATTCTATGCATTTCTGTTTAGAATTTCAAATGGCAGAGCTTTTATTACAGAAGCTGGAAAATAGCGCATCAGTATTCCATGGAAACAATGAGATAAGTTAAGTTGGGGATTTTATTAACTTTGCAAAATGTATGAACTTGATAAACTCCATTTAGAGGGTTGTTTCGTTATTTTGAGACGCTTTATCGATTATCGGGGGCATCGCGTGATTCTTCGCACAGGGAAGAATAAATCAACCCTTGAACGAGCTTTAATTGCACGCAGACGTGCGTGTGCTACGCGCGATTATGTTCTCGCAGGAAAAATTTCAATTTTGAGACATGAAAGTCGACGATAATTGAATTAAAATTATTATGTAAGTCGTCACACCTCCAATTATCTTAAACCAAAAGTGTATTCATTATCAAATTATTTGTTTTGATTACCGAAAATAATAAAGTGTGATCGATTGGAAAAAACTGAGCTGCACTGAACTCAATGTCTCCATTAGCGATTTGCAACGAAAACATCTCAATCTCATCAGTCAAATCGTGATCATCAGTCTCAATTTTATGAATTAATTCTCCACTTAATTTCGCCTGAAAATCCACAATTATTTTCTCAAACAAAAAAATACAGAACTCGCGCCCCAGACAAAAATGCCATAATAATTAAAAAAAAATGTCGAAGTTATGAGAGTTTGAATTTTGCACTTTGACTATTTATTTCTGTTAAAAAAAAATTTTTTTGCTACAGGCTATTATAAGAGGAATCAAATTGTAACTTTGTTTAATGCTATTTGTGGTTTTTATTGGCAAAAATTTTGTACCTTTACTAAATAATTATAAAAAAACATACAGGGTGTCCCAGCGAGTTGGAAAAGTCCATTAGTGACCTTTAAATGGTAAAATTTAAAAAAAATGTATAGGTCGTTGTTAGATTCTAATCTAGTGCATCACCTAAAATTATTTTCAAGCATACAGCATGTCTCAAAAATAAGTTACGATGTGTTTTTTTAAATGAAACATCGTATGTTTCTTTGCATTTTTGGATGTAGCCTTTTAAAACAATGTTTTTTCGCTAAACTTTTATTAGTCGATTTCGATTAGTTTTAGAAATAAGACGTTTTTTTTTG